GGAAAGGAAAGGAAAGGAAAGGAAAGGAAAGGAAAGGAAAGGAAAGGAAAGGAAAGGAAAGGAAAGGAAAGGAAAGGAAAGGAAACTTCACTGGCACAATTGCTGAGCTCACATACATCAACAAGCTTCAGGCTATCTCAGAAGGTCTTAACAAACAAAATTTGAATACATTACAATTGTTAACTGAGAAAGTGCTTATAATCTGTCTCAGGTGTAACCTATATCTGCACAACCATCCTGTCCTTTCCTTCTTTCCCCCTGCCTCATCCGGGTTTAAATCCCACATCATTTAAATCCTACGTTGGTTTAGCTGTTCCTGTAGCTGTGTATCTGATGCAGTGAGTTGTAGCTCACAAAAACTTATGTCTTTTCATAAAACAGGTTAGTTTGAAAAAGCGCTACTAGACTCCTGACTTATCTCTATTTGTTTTGTCTGATTTCTGGACTTTAACAGTAATAAAGTTTTGTTGTCATTTATGGTTTACCCTGTAGCATAACTCCAAGGTATCTCAGTAGTCCAGGTTTAGCAGAAGCACATTACCCAGTTTGGGTTGAAGCATTCCACAATATTCGTTTACCTTTCACGGCGCCAAGAGACAGCATGGTTCACACTGGTTTTCTCGCAGTGTAGTTCCCAGAGTTCGGCACAAAGATGTAACTAGAAGGGAAGAAAAGAAAACCAGATTATCCCTGTAAAAAGCAGCGGGAGACCCACAGACCTTCCTCAGCCTTCCCTTATGCTTCAAGAAAGCCATACCTATAACACAGCAAGGTGCAAGGATCTCTGCAGGGCATGGGCAAAAAAGTCAAGATGGTCCCTCAGTGGTGTGATTGAAGCATTTTTATCTGCAACACACATAAAAAACGGGCAGAGGTTCAATTGCACCATCGTGGCACGATCTTGACTTTTTAAACTAGACCCTGCAGGCATCCCTCGATAGGATTAATATCACACAGCTACTCTTTTTTTTTTTTAATGTAATTTTATTGAAAGGGTTAAAAGCAAAGGTTCAAAACTAATACAAACTGAGAAAGAGTAAGAAAGAAAAAAGAAAAAGAAATCAGGGAGCTAAAAGTGCAAGAAAGAAAAAAAGTAAAAGAAAAATAGAAAAGAAAAAAGATACAAAGAAGTGGCTTCTGATCTTCTTTGCAGCTGTTATAAGTGCAATTATAAATTTACCTCTTTCTCTAAAGTTATACCATGGCTCTCTTTTTTCTATAATCTAGCCAGCTAAATTGTCAAAACCATAAATCATAAGTTCATTTTTTTCTGTTTTACGCAAAAAGTCCATAAGGGGTTACAGTTAATCTTACTTAGAGTGAGAGAACATGCAGCTAGTCGGAGGACATCTGTGACCTTCGGGGCTAAACTGAATTGGGATTTGAACCCAGCTCTTTGCCATCTTTAGTCTGCCATTCAGAGCCAGGATGGGGCAACATTTTGTTAATGGAAGGCCAAATGTTTGGGGACAGGGATGGGAATGTGGGGAGCAAGATTAGCATTGGAGCAGGGTGATTATACAATGCTCTTTCATGAATGGGCTTGGATTTCCAAGAGGGGTTGGGTTTTTTGGTGGCTTGGGGCCTTCAGCTTTTGTTGTTGTTTTTTGGGGTGTGCTAAGTCTGTAACATATCTTGTTGTTTTCTCTATCCCCCCATCCAGCCCCCAGAATCAATCTACTGAACCTTTACATTTCTTGTTTGTGTGTTTGCTTGCACATTTGCTACCACACATTGGTCTCTAGTGGTTGCCTGCTCCTGAATTTCACTGGGCGTGATTTCAGGAGCTGTAGGGTCCCAAAGAAGAGTGGTCCAAGGTCACATGTGGCCCATGGTCACTCTCCTGTGCTGTAAGTGCTAATCTTGCAGGCTTACCCTCCAACTATCATTTACTAGTGAAATATGGTAGGAGAAGACTGTCACAGAAGACCTGGGTTGGGATTGCATCATGATTCATGCCTGGAAAAATTGTGCCTTGGCAAGGGCTGCTTGTTGTTGCCCAAAGCCATGGCTGAAGAAAACCGCCAACATGCCTAGCTTTGCATAAATCTGCCAAGCCAGAAATTCAAGTGCAGCCTGAATGTTTGGGCTGAGCTCTTCCAAGTTCAAATGAGAGGCGGGTGGTGACTGTTAGAGTTGTGGAGGAAAAACTTGGCTCTCAAGTCCCTGATCAAGAGCATCATGAATCTAGATCTGCAATGGGATAAAGGGAAGGTTGCTCTTGGATACACCATGTAGTGGAGCAGAGGACACCCCTCATCACCCCAAAGACAAAATTTTTCACACATAAGATCTGAAACTCTGGTTGGATTCACATGGCGTGCTAAGCCACAGCATGATATGCTTAGGTTTGAGCTGTTGTGACTGATGACTCGCAGTTTATGGCTTACAAATCCAGCGAATTGTGGTTTGTTCTACAAAGAAACCACAACTTAACGCAGTGTGAACCCATCACTGTATTCTACTGCTCATGATTCCAGATGCCTTTTCCGTGTTTCCTTTACTTAACCAACAATCTGTCACTGACTATTATTACTTGCCCTCTTAGGTTTTTTTCCCCTCTAAGTATTCCTGCATGCCTCCAAGTTCCTTCACATCTGTCGATATCTCCCATCTTGTGCATAGACACTGTCATATTCCATAAAAATCAACTCTTGGAGGACTCAGAACTCAGGATTTTTGAAGAGTGGCATGTGCATTTTCAGAATAAAATAATAAATATGGACATGCTCTCACTACTGTTGCCAAGGCCATTTAAAAATTGCTTCCCAGCATGGCCTCTTCCATTTCTTTTTCCTGTTGTCCATCCTTCCTAAATGACAACCGACATGTTTCAGCTATATGTTGAACCTGGGGAGTCCTCCTCCTTTTCTTTGTGCATTGATGTTAGCCTCTTGGCACTCTCCCTAAAGAAATGATACTTAATTCTGAACCTGAAGCTGCTCATCCCTTTTGCTGGTGGAGAAACTGGGAAGGGAGTGAAGATTTCATAGCAGATTCTTCACCTCTTCCTCCCACTCCCACCCTAATTCTCCAAGACCCTGGGTGGAATCCTGCAGACACAGCTTCTCAGGAGACTATTTCCAGAGCAATTATAGTTCAGCCCTTTATGCAGATGGACACAGCAATGCTTAGTATGAAAATTTAGGGCAGATCAGCACTTTCTACTTGGCCCATCATCAGGATAGGGTTCTCTTGACTTCCTGAGTGCAGAAATGGATGATGTCCTCTTCCTCCCACTTCTAGCCCACTGTGAATATGTTCACTCCTTGTGTTTTCCAGCTTTTATTCCAACTGTTTTCCAACCTGAAGCACCTTAAGCCCTTCAGGATGGAGGATCTCCAGTTCTAGTAGCAGTCCTGTCTTTGATTGCCCTTTTTTACAATCTTGCAGTTGATTCAATGATGGCCTGTTAAATCAATGAACCCTAGTATCCTAAAAGGTCAAGCTCCATTCAACCCTTACATCTCCCAGTGGGCCCCCTTTTGGTTTCTGCCCCAGCTGGGTGAAGCATGTTCTCTGTAAAGAGAATAGAGAATGGCCTTGAAGGACAGGAGGAAGAACCACTACCAAGACAACAGTCAGATAAGAGGGGCTTGGGTCTGGGCCAAGAAAATTACTTGAGAAAACGTCTCAGACAAGTCCCTAGTTCACACGAAGATAAAGTGAGGGAGGGGAAGCACATTCAGACTTGCAAGATTCTGCTACTATAGCTGTTACAATAAAAGTAGTCCTGGCCTATAAGGCATTGCCTTCTTAGTCTGGTCTACCTTGTTGAGCTGATGCTCTTCTTGCTCTCCCACCTCCTGCGCACAAGCTTCCCTTTCCTTTATTTCTAAAACTTAAATGGCAATGTAGGTACATGGCTACTTAGTTTCTATTACACTGAATTATCCATTCCTTTTTGCTACAAAGCTTCCATGGACCTACAGAGGGACGTAGGAATGAAAGAACAACCTGTTCCCATCTTGCTCTGATTACTTCAGCATTGGAGTGATGATCAGGGAAGTAAAGAAATGATCTGGGTCAAATTCAAACAAGATAATGTGGGAAGGGGGAGGGGGGTGAAGGCATCCATGTATGCAAACATCTGGGAGAGAAGGCATGGGGTAGTGAGCAGGGAACCATCCCTAAGAGGAAAAGGCAGGCACTGGTAGACTGGTCCCCACAGCAGGATGGATGGGAAGGGCAAGGAGCAGAGGAATGATCAGTCAAGTCTCACAGTGGCTGTAATCCAGAGGGAGCATCAACCAGACCCGTTGCCATCCCACTGCAATCCAGACTGGACTTTCTGAAGTTGGCTTAGGAAACAGCTGGAAGCACCACCGAAGACAGACAGCCTTGGCTGTAGTGCTGAGTGATTCTTAGGGGCATTCCAGTCACACCACTCTTCATGGAGAACCCTTTGGAGGGTGTGCCCAGACAGACTCCATTTCTGGCATTTCATACTTCACTGTTATGGGAACACACATATTTCAGAGAACTGGGTGGGGACAGAAACCACACAGAATTGTAAAAGAAACAGTTCAGAATCGAGGTGTGTGTTTGGGAGCCAAAATGGAACTTCTTTTTCCTGCTGGCATGTTTGTCAACACCACTTCCTGGTAACTAGGCTGACACATAAACTGAAGAGGATGCCATTGTGACAAGAAAGCAGGCTTACACAAATGTGTAGTAGAGGGTGAACTACGGGGCCATTTTCAAAACTGGAAAGCTCTCAGTCACTCCTCAATCAGATAGGATAAACATAGGGAGCAAAGGAGAAAAAATTCTTAGGCATAGATAGCAATTCCTTTTGCATGGCATAGTCACGACAAGTGCCCAGGAATACCGGCTCCAACTGAACAGGGACCATGAAAGAGACGTGGGCTTGACTAAACCCTGATCATCCCTGTCCTAAATGATATTCTATATTTAGGGAAACCAAATCCAACTGCTGTGTTCACATAACATGCTATGGCCAAACCAACCAACCATATTGGCTTAATTCAGTGGCCTGGTTTCTCCAGCATGCTAAGATAATCACTAGATTCACACAACCTATTCAATTAGTCCACCTCATTTTAGCCTAATTCACGGCATTATACGAACCAGTCAAGGTGTACACGGTGTTTTACTTTAGTGCTGAGGCAGTAACATTTCTGTTATTCTTCCTGTCCCCAAGAAGCCTAGTTGTACTTGTCTCTTTGGGATTCTGACATACACACTAAGCCAGAGTTTCTTTAGTTATGATTTCTGGAGGGGGGGGGGACAATAGAATTGGCTGATTTTACCTGTAACGGCAGTTTTTCCCCTGCTGGTGCCCTCCAGACTGGTTGGATGGCAACTTCAAAAATGTCTACCCAGCCATTCTGGTCAATGAGAATTCTAGTTCTTGTTGGAGCCACCATTTGGAAACACCAGGCTGGGAAATTTCTGCAGACTATGGTGATCAAACCATGACAGCTGGGCTCACAGAACATACTAAGACAAAATGTAATGAACCATATCATGGCTTTGCACAATGAAAGAACTCTGCCTGTGACTCTGAGGGGACACAGTGATGAAGCTTGCCCTCACTAAAAATAAAGTATACTAGCAATGTGAAGTTTTAATAATGACCGTGAATTTGGGGAGGGGGATATAAATATTAAAGATAAAAATTTCAACTTCTTTTAA